AAGAAAGTTATGCATCAGGGCTGTATTCTTTTTCTATACCTAGAAATTAGAGAGCTGAACAGAAAGTTTCAAGGGGCAACTCGGGAAGACAAAGCAAAGTATTAAAATGAAATGTGTAAAGAGCTGGAGTCAGAAAATCAAAATGGCCGAACTCACTTAGCATTTCTTATGCTGAAAGAATTGAAAAACAAAATCAAGCCATGAGTTGCAATACTTAAGGATGCTTTGGGCAGAATATTAAATGATACAAGAAGCATTAAAAGAAGATGGAAGGAGTATAAAGAGTTATTGTACCAGAAGGAATTGGCTGACACAGAAGAATTTAATGAAACAACCTAAGAGCAAGAGCCTGTGGTGATGAAGGAAGAAGTCCAAGCTGCTCTGAAAGAATTGGCAAATACCAAGGCTCCAGGAATTGATGGCAAACCGATTGACGTATTTCAACAAACAGACACTGCCCTGGATGTGCTTATTAAGTTGTGCCAAGAAATCTAGAAGACAACCACTTGGCCAACTGACTGGAAGAGATTGATATTTGTTCCCATTCCAAAGAAAGGTGACCAGACAGAAAGTGGAAACTATTGAACAATATCATTAATATGACATGCAATCATGATTCTCCTGAAAATCATGCAAAAATGAGCAGCATGTCAACAGAGAACTGTCAGATGTGCAGGCTGAGTTTAGAAGAGGCCACGGTACCAGGGATATTTAGATAATGTTAGATGGATCTTAACTGAAAGCAGAGAGTACCAGAGGAATGTCTGTGTTTCATTGACTATGCAAAGGTGTTTGACTGTGTGGATCACAACAAACTGTGGCTGACTCTGAGAAGAACAGGAATCCCAGAACGTTTGATTGTGTTTATGTGAAACCTACACTTGGACCAGGAAGCAGTTGTCAGACCAGAGCAAGGAGACATTGCATGGTTCAAAATTAGAAAGGGTGTATGCCAGTGACGTATTCTGTCTTCATACCTTTTCAATCTGCATGCAGAACACATCATCCAGCAGGCTGGCCTGTATGAGGAGGAATGTGACATCGGAAACAACCTGCATTACACAGATGATACAACCCTGCTTGCTGAAACTGAGGAGGATCTGAAGCACTTGCTGTAGAAGATCAGGGACTGCAGCCTTCAATATGGATTGAAACTCAACATCAAGAAAACAAAGATTCTCACCACTGGGCCAATTGGCAGCATGGATGGTGAAGAGATTGAGATTGTTGACAGCTTCAGTTTGTTTGGCTCCACAATCTACACTCTTGGCACCAACAGCCAGAAAATCAAGAGATGCATTGCATTGGGGAAGTCAGCTGTCAGGGACCTCTCCAGAGTACTGAAGAGCAATGATGTCAGTCTGGAGACTAGGGTGCACCTGATCCAGGCCATAATTTTTGCAGTTGTGTGCTATGTGTCAGAGAGGTGGACAATGACTAGGGATGATAGAAAAAGAACTGATGTCTTTTAGCTTTGGTGCTGGAGTAGAGTTTTGAATATCATGGGTAGCCAGAAAAACAAACAGGTTCATCCTAGAGAGGGTAGGGCCAGGCTGCTCCTTGGCGGCAAGGATTCTGAAGCTTTGTCTGACATACTTTGGGCATGCTGGAAGGAGGGACCGGTTCTTGGAGAGGGAGATCATGCTTAGTAGGGTGGAGGGACAGAGAAAGAGAGGGAGATCAGTGATGAAATGGATTGATACAATTCCTGGGGTAGTGAGGGTCGGTGTGTTGGAGACCATAAAGTTGGCACAGGATAGAGCAAGTTTCAGGACATAAGATCGCTATGAGTTGTAAGCGACTTGATGACACATAACAACAACAACAACAACATTCAATCTGTATGGGCCCTGGTGGCCGAGAGGCAAGAAGCTGCACTGCAATCCCAAAAGTATGCAGTTTGAGTCCACCTGCTGCTCTGTGGGAGAAAGATGAGCGATCTCCTCCTGTGTGATTAATTGCCTCTGAAAACTGGCAGGAGAGTCAGCTACGGGTCAGTTCTGACCCTACAGTACACAATAACCAAGAATAAGGGTGTCATTCAATCTGTATGCTCAGTAAATCATTGCAGAATCTGGACTCTATTTGTAATACGGCATGAGGTTATGCGGGAGACGCATCAATAACCTATATTATGCAGATGACATAAGTTTGCTTGATGAAAGTGAGGAGGACTCAAGGCACTTGCTGCAGAAGATCAAAGAATGCAGCCTTCAGTATGGATTGCATTTCCACATCAAGGAGACAAAAATTCTCATATTGTACTCATAGGCAGTATCATGATGGAGAAAAGATTGAAATTGCCAATGATTTCATCTTACTGAGATCCTCAACCAGTATCTTTAGTACTGGCAGTCATGAGATCAGGAGATATATTGTACTGGGCAAGTTTGCTGTCAGAGACCACTCCAAAGTCTTGAGGAGTAATGATGTAATTTTAAAGGCTAAGGAGTGTGTAATTCAAGTCATGGTTTTTCCAATCACCAGCTATACATCTGAGAGCTGAACAATGAATAAGGATGACAGAAGAGTTGATGCCTTTGAGCTGTGATGTCGGAGAAGAGTACTGAAAATGCCAGGGACTGTGAAAAGAATAAACAGATGAGAAAGCGCAGCCAAAATTCTGGGCATGTTGCTAGAAGAGACCGTTTCTTAGAAAGGGGCATCATACTTGGAAAGGTGGAAGGTCAGAAAGAGAGAGAGAGGGAGACCCTCTATGGGATGGACTGACAATAGTGACTGCAGCATACTTTATACATTCAATTCAGTCACGTCATTAGGAACTAGAATTTACAATTAGAAGGGATTTTAGAAATCTCCAAGTCAACTATTCTCATTTTTACAAATGCAAGAGATATATTTGGTATTAGGAAGAGTATCCAGACTTGATTCTGAGAGCTCTGATTTCTAGGGCAATTTCTTTTTCATTTATAATACTGATTTGCCTTATTCCAAAGTCATGTTTTCTTGTAAAATCACTAAAAAGAGCTTTTTAACGAACTTCTTATGAAACGACATCATTTTTCCAAGCTTTCTTCTTTCTTCCTATAATGCTACCCCAATCAGAAGAGTGGGAAACCGCTTTGCAATTCTACTAATCGCAGGTCCTTATCCATCCTTTCACGCGGGTCAAAGCTACCCCACAGACTCCGGCCCATTTAGGGCCGACCTGCCCTTATCCAATATGGCGGAAGCTGCTTCTGCTCTAGGGGAAGTGAGCTCACATACTCCGGAAGGGAAGGCGGGGAGGGTGGAGGCGGTGGGTGACCCGTCGTGGGGCTGTGGGTGGGGCGGCGGTCGGGGTTGTGGCCCTAGCAGTTAAGGCTGCAGAGTGGGCGAGAGGCTCGCGTGCTCTTGGAAACGCAAACCAGGACTCCAGGCCAGAGCATTGGAGGAAATCGCCCGAGCGACTCGATTCTGGCCTGAGCGAAGGGCGACTCTTGAGAGCCCGCGTCCCGCCCCGGGCGGCCTCGTCCGCGGACCCCGCTGCCGGGCTACAGGCGGGCGGCCCGGGTTTGTCTCCGGGGCTGCGGCGGGAACGGTCGTGCGGGTGGGCGGGACCCTCTGAAGGGGAGGAAGAGGGGCGCGGAGCTTAGGCTGGGTTCCCGGTGCGCGATTCTCTGTCCTTTGCCGGATTCCTAACGCAGCCCGCGACCTCCCCACGCTGCTTTCTCCTTTGAGGATGCCACCAAGCCCTCTAGCAGGCTGATATTTTTTCCTCCCTGCTTGTGCCAGGGGCGAGGTCGAGATTTCAAGAACATCAGTTCTCCTCTCTTGTCTCTGCTCACTTGAAAGTTTTGCTTCGCTGAGAATGCGTGTCTTCCTCCCGTGGACCATTTGATGGTCCCCCCAGCCCTACCCCGGCCCCCTCCAGCTACCCTCTAGTTTAAATCACGTTCAGTTCACGTCTTTTTTTTTTTTGAAAACCAAACAAACCCAAAACCACCTACCGAACTACCCTACAGAATTGTTAGTCACGCCCAAGAAGGGCCAGTGGACTTTGGAGTTAAGATGCAGGGAGGAGAACCGATGTCAACCATGAAAGTGTCCGAGAGCGAAGGAAAGCTGGAGGGCCTGGCCCCGGCGGTGACTCCGAACAAGAACAGCAACAGCAGCTGCGGTGGTGGAATCAGCAGCAGCAGTAGCAGCAGCAGCCGAGGTGGCAGTGCGAAAGGCTGGCAGTACAGGTATGGCCAAGGTGATTCCTGGGGCTGGAAATAGGGATGAGTTACGCTGGCGTCTGCATTCCTGCAGTTGTGGAAGGGTCAAGTTTATTCACTGACTTCCAGAAGCAGCTGATGAATCTCATTTGGACCTGTTGTCTGCGTGGAGTTGGAACGAACCCGTAGCTGGTTTTCAGAGGCAGTTAATCGCACAGGAGGAGGTGGCCTTGAACAGCCACCCTTCAGGATCGCAGCGCAACTTCTTAACCCTAGCCCACCAGAGCTCCCTCATTTGGGCCTAGGGGACATCATCTCTCATTAGCGGGATTTCATTCATTCAACAGGTACTTCCTGGACATTTGTCTGGAGAATCGAAGGAAACTTACTGAGTGAGCACTGTCTGGAGAATGAATCCTTGAGCTCCCTCTACAACAGTTCATCTTCTCCCTGATTGAATTCTGTACTCCTGTCTTTGCTTGTGTTGTAATTAGTTTACAAGCCGGTCTTCTCCTGTACTGTGAAGCAAGAACTGTTATTTTAACCCAGCTCTCTCTGAGGTTAGCAAATAGTAACCTCAGGTTTGTGTTTGTTGAGTGATTGGAATAATTGAGTCAGAAAAAAGAGTCTTGCCTTCAGGATGTTTTTGATTTAGGGGGTGAGCTGTACATAAATAATTTTGAGTTCTTGCTTTTGATACTCTGAACTTGGGAGAGTTTCAGTTTGAATTGATCTGGCCACTTGCCTGTTCTCTGTATTGATGAGAGAGTCTGCATTTGTAGTAAGAAGCTGCCCTGTATACCCAGGGACACGCAGTGTTTGAATCCATCAGCTGCTCCATGGAAGGAGAATGGGCAGTCTCTTCCAGTGTGATTTAGTGCCTCTGAAAACCGTCTGGAGAGTCATCTGTGGGTCACTTCCAACTTGATGGCACACAACAACCGTCATAGAAGAGAATTAAGAGTGGCCTGGAGGGGCAATGATAGTTTTTTGTTTTTTTCTATTTAGTATATAAGAGAAAATAACCACATCATTTTAATGAGTGAAAATCAGGACATCCAGTGGTATTGGAAATAAAGGAGTAACTTCTAAAGTTTTGGGTAAAAGACTATACCTGTTTCCAGTTTGCACTGTCTGTACAATCTGGTTTTTGTAATGAGACTTGAATAAAGATTTCACCACCCACTCAAAAAAAAAAGAGACTATACCTGTATGCATTGCCTAACTGATTTGTTGGTGCATTGTTTATATATGTGCAATTTGAAAGGAATTAATATTTTGTGACATGTACTATCTAATTTTCACATATCGAATAATATATTGAAGGATGGGTAATCTCTTGGGCCATTTACTGCCTCTGAAAGCCCACTGGAGGGTCAGCTATGGGTCAGTCCCAACTCTGTGGCACACAACAACATGATTATATTATAATATGACATAGTGTGATGTGTATTGACTGCAAACACAAAGGTTGACTGTTTGAGTCTACCAATGGCTTTGAGGGAGAAAGATGGGAAATTCCCCCTGTAAAGGTTTTTAACCTCAGAAACTTGATGGAAGGTCCCTCTGAGTGGGACTTGAGTTCAGATCTGTTATTCGTGGGTTCTCTATGAATTTGTTAAGAATCAAACTTAACAACAGTAATAACATAATATAGAAGGGTTGTAACTTTTTCTTGATAAGTGACTAAAGGGCAGGACAATTTAAGATATCTAGCCTTACGTTTGGAATCAGCATGATCCTTTTTTAATTTTGTAGTTAGCATGAATTATATGTAATTATTGGGCAGGGATTTTTAACTATGATTTGAAGAAGAGAAACTTAAGTATTCCAGCTAGTCAGAGAACAAATCTCCTGACATTCTCAACTGTTTGAAATTCAGTCTCAGTTGAACTGAAAAGTGAAACAAGATTTTAGCACTAGGAAGAATTGTCATAAAACTATGCACTTTACTCTTGTACTTTCACACAGAACCTACTGTGTCTTACTTAGTGTGTTGTTTAGTGGTTATGTAACTTTCAAAACAGAATCTATTGGAAGCACAAAAGAAGGAGAAGGTTATTAGGGGAAATGTAACTAAGGAAATGGCAGCTGACAATGTGGCCAAAGATTTGAAAAAGTAGCATTTGAGCTCAGCTATGTGACTTCCTAGTAGAAATGACCTGAAGTAATCCAGGAAAAGAGTTATGTCCAGTTTACTTTATTTAAGAAGGCACAGAACTGTTTGATAGTGCTGACTGAACTGAACAAAGTAAACCATTTTTCAAAAAGTGTCTGGAAAATATAGTTACGTGATTCTTTTACCCAAGAAAGCAAATAAATAAGGTATTATTGAATTTATATTTTGAACAGATATTTTTTGTTTTTCTTCTTTGTATTTTTTTTTCCTTTCCTTGTTGTGCACCATAGAATCTGCTCCGGCTGTCACCAGAGGAGATTGTCCCTCCTCCAGCAGAGCATCTGTTGGATTTGAACCATGTACCTTTGGTATTGCAGCACAGTTTTTTTTTTTTTTGCCACTAGACCACCAGAGCTTCCTAGATATTTTTGTGTTAATGTAGCTTGCTTTTCCAAGGCTAAAAGACCGAATCTCTTTGTTTCTAAGGCATTGATTAGAGATTTTCCTCCTTTCCTCCATTGCTTCCTCTTCCTAAGCTCCTTCCCCTCTTTGACTTCAAAAACAGAATTATTTTTTCTTGAAAGTAGTACACACTGCTTTCGTTTTCTTCAACACACGTCACTCCAAATGCTGTTGAATTGTTTGTGACTTTGGGAGATCATGAGTATGGTGCAGGATAGGGCGGGGTTCAGATCTGTTACTAATTTGGTCGGAACGAGCTGTAGTTGACTTGATGGCACCTACCAACAGCAGCATGGCTGTCAGAGGAGATCTGACATACAGTTTTTTTGGGTATTTAATGAAAATTTACAGAAAAGTTGGATTTTCATTCATTCATTGTTGGACATTTTCTCCCCTACATCTCTCAGTTCATTGTTGCATCATTTCCTCTCTCTTCCCCCTACCATTCCCCTAGTCCATTTTGCTATGTACCTCTTATTCTGGACTGTTATCATACCTCCATATGGTGGTTTTGGTTTTGTTTTTCTTGTTATGTACCGTTGTGTCGGATCCAACTGGCACAGGAATAGATTGCCTCTCCTTCTCCAACAGAGTATCTGGTGGATTCAAACCACTTGCCTTTGGGATTGCAGTGTAGCTTCTTGCCACTAGGCCACCAGAGCTCCTGATCCATTTAGTTTTAAAGACTAATTCTTTGGAATTAGTCTGGATCCTCAGACCAGTTGGCTTGCGTACAGTGTTTTATATGTCCATATACACTGTGTTTTATGCATGCGCATTGTTTTTATACAATCTGTAATTCATTGATATAATCTTACATTTGTGTTGTGTTTTGTTCATATATATTGTGTTTTATACAATCATTCATATACATTGTACTTTAGACAATTAATTTTTATTGATCTCTGTCAATTACCATCCCATCTTTTCAAGTCCCCATTGGATTTTTCCGAAGAGATCTATATTTGTTCCCATCACAAAGAAAGGTGACCCAACAGAGTGTGGAAACTGTAGAACAATCTCACTGATTTCACATGCAATCAAGATTCTACTGAAGATTATCCACAAACGACTGGAACAGTACATCAGCAGAGAACTACCAGAAGTCCAGACTAGGTTTAGAAGGGGTGGTGGTACTAGGGATATTGTAGCTGATGTTAGATGGATCTTAGCTGAAAGCAGAGAATACCAGAGGAATGTCTGTCTGTGTTTCATTGACTATGCAAAGGCATTTGACTGTGTGGACCATAACAAACTGTGGCTGACTCTGAGAAGACTGGGAATCCCAGAACACTTGATTGTTCTAATGTGAAACCTATACTTGGACCAGGAGCCAGTCATCAGAACAGAGCAAGGGAACACTGCATGGTTCAAAATTGGGAAGGGCGTACGCCAGGGATGCATCCTATCTCCATACCTTTTCATCCTGTATGCAGAACAGATTATCCGGGAGGCTGGGCTATATGAGGAGAAATGTGGGGTCAAGATTGGTGGACGATTTATCAGCAATCTGAGTTATGCAGATGACACTACCCAGCTTGCTGAAACTGAGGAGGACCTGAAGCACCTGCTGCAGAGGGTCAAGGACTGCAGACTCCAATATGGATTGAGGCTCAATGTCAAGAAGACAAAGATTCTCACCACTGGACCAATTGGCAGCATCAGGATGGATGGTGAAGAGATTGAGATTGTTCACAGCTTTAGTTTGCTTGGCTCCACAGTCAACACTCTTGGCACCAGTAGCCAGGAAATTAAAAGGCGCATTGCCATGGGAAAGTCTGCTGTTAGGGACCTCTCCAAAGTACTGAAGAGCAATGGTGTCTCTCTGGAGACTAAGGTACGCTTGATACAGGCCATGGTCTTCACAGTCACTTGTTATGCATCAGAGAGTTGGACAGTGACCAAGGAGGATAGAAGGAGAATTGATGCCTTTGAGCTGTGGTGCTGGAGAAGAGTATTGAACTGCTAGGAAAACAAACAGATTCATCCTGGAAAGGGTTAAATCAGGTGGCTCCTTGGAGGCAAGGATTCTGAGGCTTCATCTAACATACTTTGGACATGTTATAAGGAGAGGCCGGTCCTTGGAGAGGGACATCATGCTTGGTAGGGTGGAGGGACAGCGCAGGAGGGGAAGGCCCTCTATGAGGTGGATTGATTCAGTTACTGGGTTAATTGGGATGGGAGTGTCAGAGACAGTTTGATTGGCACAGGACAGAGCAGAGTTTAGGGCTGTTGTACATAGGGTCTCTATGAGTCGCAAGCGACTCAACGGCACATAGTAACAACAACAACAAATCCCTCCCATTCTCCCACTCACCTCTGCTATCTTAGTGATTTCCCTCTTTCCTCCTTTTCTACCCCCTTTTCCCTTTCCCTTTCCCTTTGAACATTTACATATATCTTTCTCAACTACCCTATTTTTACAGTAATGGTCTTATGCAGTATT